GTATTCCTTGTGCAGCAGGAGTGCTCAGACTAGACCAAACCTCTAACTATCCTACTGCAATGCAGTCTCATCATTTTATTATGCCTTTGCTATAAAACACCATGGTAAAAGTAAAGAGGGAATTTTGTGGATTGTTAACAGCCCTATTAATGCCTGAATTTGCATTAACTCCACTACTTCAAACCTACCCAAACCAGCCTTATAGGGCAACGCAACCACCCAACCTTATACTTATGAAGTACAGGGAATAAGAAAAATAGGACTAAAGGTATATCTAAATTTTAACAGATTAGGTGCATGAGTCCGTAAACCAAAGGGTTCATGACCTACTCACCAGATGATGGAGGCGTCGATTTTCTGGAACTAGGAACGATGTCACCCAAACTGGATGAAGAGTTTCCTCCTGATTTACTGGAGTAAAGCAACACATTAGTTTGACGTTTCATAGCTTTCTCAGTATTTATTCTAGTTTATTTATTACCTGCCTTCTAAACGAGCTGCTAGCCGAGAGACAAACAGTATTTCTGGCAGTGGTATAAAATATACATCTTACACAAAATGTGTGTACATTTTGAGGACTGAGGAACTGCAGACATCAATCATGCTCCTTGTTCTGCTGTGCATCTTCATTCTGCTGCATATGCTCTACTACCTCATGATCTTAATGCGATACAATTATTAATATGGCTACCGATATATAATTATTAATATTACTACTCATTACTAAGACTAATTCTTAGGCCAGTGAGCATATCTGTTTCCTTTAACAGAAGAGTTATGGATAGCTCCCTAGTGAAACTGATAGTGTGTTTGCCTAACATCTTTTCAATTTAATTAAAGTACAAATTCTTTTGCTGTCTCAATATCAGGTAGCACTTAGGAAAAAAAAGTCTGTCAAATTAAGATAAAGCAGTTTAGGGTTTTGTCAAGTTCTGCTTTGTGAAAACCTATCCAAGTTGTGAAAATGAAACAATATTTTCAGTCATTTTATTTCAGTTACCATAATGAGAAAAGCACTGAAAAGAACGTAAGAAAGGCTATTTCACTCTTCAAATAATTCATGTAATAGTACTAGTTTCCAGTTTCTCCATCTTAAAATATTAATAAGCTCTAAGAAAATGCATTTGTGGTGTAGGACAGTGTTATCTCCAGTGAGAAGTTCTGGAGAATGGAAGCCTTTACAATTTGGAAAGGGACCGAATCACTGGGTCAGATTTGGCTGTATCAGAAGCATCACAAGAGGAATAAGGAACCTGATGTCCTCCTGCTGAGGACAGCACACTCATAGGAAACGCATTTCACAGCTGGCGAATGCACCTGAGCACTGCAGCATCCTGGTCTCCTCCTAGTGTAGACACGCTCTTCAAACCCTGCTGCCCTTCCTATTGAAGTAGGAAAGCCTTTCTGGCTTCCCAAATGTTTCCCAGATGTTTTCTCAATTCCAGCTCCGTCCTGCTCAGAAATACTGGAAATATATACTCAAAGGGAAGCAAGTGGCATTTGCTTCCACGTGTGTTAATGTTTATGCAAAACTACTTTATTAATAATTCTACAGTAAAGATTACATTATTGCCACCTCGCAGTATTGTTCAATACATTTAGATACTGAATCTTTGTTTTTGTGTAATGATGGCTGCAGTCAGACACAACAAATGACTTGACATGAAACTTCCATGGTAAAATAAGAGTATTCTTAAAAGCTGTATTTGTAGGCAATGAATTTGACAAGACCAAAACATTTTTTCCCTAAGAGCTAACTAACAGGCACTGGCTTCAGCTTGCAAATAAATTAATCTTAACATTTTCTGTAATTTCTAAAATCATCTTTAAAATGTTTAGAAATTGCAAGATCATGAAAACAAGTAACAAATGCTAAAGAATTTAGGGAGATCGATTTTTAAGTCAAAAATTGTGCTTGCACGTAGTAAACGTACTAACTGCAATGTATATTTGCAAATATTTTATGAAAATAAAATGGAATAATATCCATTGTAGGTCACCACAGACCACCAATCTAAATATCTACTTTCTCTCTCAAATGGCAATGACATTAATTATATAAATAAATATTACTTCCTTCATTGATTCAAAATGTTTGTAGCTGCCAATTACAACAATTAAACAGAACTATAGCATAAACAGCATTAACTTCCAAGTTGTGTCACAGTCAGTGCTACTCTTTTTAATGATTTGTTGTTATTACCTGGAGTAGAATTTTCCTTGTTTTGCCTTTTGTTCATGCTGCAGCCTCATGTTTTCTAGTTTGACTGGGCTTGGTATGAATCCTATTTCACAGCCTTCTTTTACCAACCGTCCTATCCACCAGTCATTATTAAATTTCTACAGGGGGAAAAAAAAAATCATGTACTAAGAAACTACTGTATTTGGGATCATTTTGTTATTATTTTTAATTTGCAGCTAAGCCATTTTATGTAATTCTTCCCTGCAGTTAATCACTGTACTATGTTATTATGGCAATGAAGAATTGTGGTAATATTCAGAAATACATTAAAATAATTATACCTTGCAAATTATTAAAATGCTACAGTACTTAAGCAGAAACCTTCCTTCATAGACCTCATGATTCTCCCTGGCTGTTATTTCCACCCATTTCACCATCTTTATTTTTTTGTGCTTCATAGTCTTTTCTCCTCATACATGAGAGATGCTTTTGTTCTTCCACGATCTTTCTCCTTGGTGGACACCAGAGATTTCTTCTGATCTGCTCCCACCCACTGCAACAATTTTTGCAGCTCTGTAATAATCTATTTTTCTCATTCCATTATATTCAGTTCTCTCTTTAAAATAAAAAATACTACTCCTCAAACTCTCCCGCTTCTCTGAACTCACTAAAATCTTCTGAAATATGATTACTTTCCACTGCTTATATATGCTCTACTGCATACAGCTCATGCGATCTGCATCTTAAACATACAGTGACAGATCCACAAGGAATGAATATCTTTTGGTAACTAAAATTCTACAAATGCACAGGATAGTTCAACTAACTGAGTTTCAGCTATATGAAATACGAGATAATGACTAATTTAATAATATCATACACACACAGGCGGTTTTGTTTGTTTGTTTTGCAGAGGTCTGTAGACCAGAACTATTTGCTTTTTCCTTTATTAATTATTCACCATTTTTGGATGAGAATAGGTCACTGTTATGTATGGCCCCACATGCAATACTCTAGGAGTTCCATGGGAATAACTACCATCAAATATGAATTTTGGATAATTTGGATTATTCATGAAACTGTAAGAGAACATCTGAATGGGAAGAGAATTTGCCTTCTTCAATCTGAAGCGATGAATGCAGATATTATAGTGCATGTTTAATTATTTAATAAGTAGTTTTAACAAGTGTACAGTTAGGAGTAAAACATGTAAAATGTGTGGGCTCCCATAAAAAGGAATTAATTTCACCGAGAATACAATGTTGGTGGATCAATGATACACAACCTAAATTGCAGTACTATCTTTCATTTTGGCTACTATAGAAATGTTGTGATGCTTGAAACCAACTTTAAGATATTTAGCAAATAAAAAATAAAGATTAAAATAAACGCACTTTTAAGCTCATAAAATATAAGGGGATCTGTAACATTCATCCAATGGGATGCCTTTATGAGGAAGAATACCAATATTTAATAGGGAGCTAATCTGGAGTAGAAGTTTCTCAAGCGGTATTAGCCTGAAACATATTATTAAAATCATAACCTTTCACTGCAAAATGCTAACTAAAGATATGCATGTGCATTTAAAATATGTTGTAGGATAATATAGGTGGAGGAAGACTAGAGCAATTGAGCCAATGGAGGTTGCCATTATATGGATCTGCTCTATGGTATACATGAAGTCTGCAGAAGTAGTATCATTAACTTGGTAAAAAGAAGAGATAGATACTTAAAAACACCATTAAATTAAAATCTGAACAGCCACTACTTTTTTATACTGTCCTATACAGTATAAAATAGACTACTACGCAACAACATTAATTTTATTCTAATTGATAGAAATGCTAAATCCATAGGAAGTTTTTCTTCATACAAAAATAAAAGCATCTGGAATTCACTCCTGCAAAGTCTCAAATCTAAAAGCTGTGTCCGTATATGAAAAGGAGGATAAGATACTTTTATAAGTAAATAATACCACACATAATACTTTTTAATTTTAAAAAGCAATAGTGGAAATCTTGGTAGCGAAGTGTCCAGCTCTCAACATGCTAGCTGGGGTGAGCTATTCTCTGTAATTCACCTGTGCGTGGAGTGCCAAGGGAAACACAAATATGAATTAAATGCAAAGCAGAATTATGGCCATGTATTAAAGCCCCAAAAGATTCAGGAGTGACTATGATGCAGTGCATGTTTCTTCATGCAGGAAGGTATCCTTCATTTTTTTATGTACTGAGTTTTAATGAATGTAACCTAATAATGAAAATAAATTTCCCTCATACTCAATCACTGCAGTACTTTTCACCATTCATGTACATTTTGAACTGAGGTTTTTCTTGTTTGAGACCTCTCAGCAGCACAAATTGGAGAACACTCCTCACAGACAAGAAGAGGTCAGCATCAATCCAATACGGCATTACTATGCAGGCAAAAGTTATCGGAAATTAACTTAGATTTCTTTATTTCTAGCAACCAGTTAGGTATAAAATATAAAAGCAACACTGCATTTTATAGTCAAATATGTTTTTTTACTTTTCATCTGCATAAATAATGAAATTTTGGACATTTCAGTTCTCCCAGCATTAACTATAGGGAGCACCAATATTACTGAAGGAGCAATATCTGGTGGGATACAGAACCCTGCAGAGTGAGCAGGGCATGGCCACAGAAGCGGGAGGGGGAGGACGCGCCTCTGCAGGGAAGGGCCGCTCCTCGCGGGACCCTCCTGAAGAGGTCTGACACGCCCAGACGCAATAGCCTCTGCCAAACGCAGGACCAGCAAGTCCAAGTTGACTCCTTGGGGGTCCCTTCCCACCTCTCCATCCCAGCCGTGCACCTGGCCTGGGTTCAGGGTCCGTTCCACAACCCAGCTCTGGCCTAGCACCACTAGACAGTCAACTTTCCTTAACTGCTTACGGCGAAAACCAGATATTTTTCAAGGCAATTAGCACAGAGTGGCTCTTCTATTCCACCTGAAGCTGCAAGAACAACTGCATTTTAACCTATATTTCCATTCCTCAGCGCTACATGCAGCCATATACAATATAACGACTCAGCTAAGCTGTTTCCTTTTAAGGCATTTCTGGAGATCCAGAAAAGTTCAGGAAACTTTTTCTTCCTCATTATCTTCCATGCATATTTACATATGAGTCTAAGTTGTGCTGTGAGGAAAAAACCATAAATCGTAACAGAAAATCTTCTAGCACTGTGTTTCTGGTTCATACGGGAACAGGGGAAAGACTTGATATGAAGTCTGAGATTACCAGCTCGTTTGAAATGCAGATGGAATAGATGACCATACAAAATAATTTAATCTAACCAAACTGAGACATATTTTCCAGGGCTTCCAGACTCACCAGAGAATGCTGATGGTTTTCTATGGCCAGGACTCTGTGCCTGCTCATCTCTACTTTTGTCACAAGATAGAGCAGAGCAATTCTTTTGCACTCTCATCAGAGAGAAAACGTATTTTCTTCACTATATACAGTTCGACTCCAAATTATCCCTTTTTTTTTTTTTTTTTGTGTTTCATATATAAGGAGAATTATGATCATTAGTCATCAGTATAAAGGCACTAAAAGTCCATTTCTTGTGTTTCCTTAGTCTCTGTCCACCTGTATTTCCACCTGTGTATTAGGAATATTTCTTGCTTCCACAAAGCACCTGCACTAACAGAATCATTGTGCATCATCAATCATAACTACTGAGGGATTTTTCAATAATCTAAAATGGGGCAAAGATACAATTTCAAATGCATGGCTAAGTTGCTCTCATCCTTAAGGTAACTTTTTAGTTCTTCTGCTATAAATTTCCATTTCCATGTGGACCATTTTGTGACACAATGGAATATGACCAGAAGCTGGGAAATCCTGTAAAATGAGGGAATCATTCAGAAGGGAGCAGCAGGCTGCTAAGGAAGGCCTGCATGGGAAAGTTACCAAATTATTTGCTTTGGACTGTCTTGCAAGGAGCAGAAAAAGAACAAGAGTTTACGTGTTCGAAACTGTCAAACTTGAAAATTTTCAAAGCGAAACTACAGGAAAAGAAAACGAATACAGCAAACGCAAGGCGCCTTTTTTGACAGTTGTTACATGCATCTTGAAAATTATCACATCAGTTCTTCAGTATGTAACTGTTAACAACAAAATATTGTCTGTGCCAGGGAAATAACTTCATTCAAAAAAAGGAGACCTAAGGTTTTTGGGTTTTTTTTGAGATTAAGTCACGCAAATAAAAGAGAATCAACCCTTGGCTGCTAAATCACAATGAAACCTCAGAGTGCTAGAATGGTAAAACCCACAGATATTGTTATCTTGGTATATGCAGATGGAGATTTTTAAAGCTCTAAATAAGTGATAGTTACTAGAGAAGAAAAGCACTTGCTTTCCAAATTTCATTAATTTGATTGTAAGGAATTTGTGCCATTGCTTTTATGAGAATAGTATTTCAAAGAACATTCAATTTCTTATATACAGTTACCTTATTTATGTAACATTTGTATAGGGCTTTGACAATGTGAAGCATTATCTTAACATTAAGAAATAGTAGCACTATTACTCAACTAGACCCTTAAAGTGAGATTCATTTACTCCTTTAGTTTGACTTACTTCTTTAACATGAAGAAAATCTTTAGCCTCAAATGAGATGGCCATGCCTGGGACTGGAACATCGTCATCATGAGCTGCACTGTACCCAACATTTGTCCGAACTGCAAATGCAACAGGTTTTGTCTGCAAAACAAAAGATGAACAGCATGAAGATTTCCCGTACAAACACGTGCATATGTACAAACACACACACAGAGGATGATTTCTGCAAATTATGTTTTTAAAATCATAACAATTACAAAGAACACTCAAAACATCCATGTAAAACATTACGAAGTGTCATGTTTACTTACCTCAATTATTTAATATCAACACGTTTGATAGAATACAAGATTTTTATCTAGCTACTAGTGTTCTGAATCAATTTGGGATAAGTCAAATCAGTAATCATAAAACAGTTGGCAATCCATATACTATGCTCAGTTACGATGGCATTGCACAGCAGATCTTCATTTGTCTAAGATTAGAGATTTCTAACCACAGTTCTGTACTTATGTGGTCATGCCTCACACTTGCGTTGCAGTATTTTTAAGAGGTGCGCTTGAATTTGCATGGAGCGTTTTATCCTGCTTTCACGGCAATTACTGGGCCCTTGTCAAATTCAGAAGGGAATGAGAAGAAGAGAATCAGATTTCAGTTTACTAGAACTTGAATTTTAAATTGCAATGGTTTACTATGCTTTGCTAATAAACAGAGAGATATAACATAAATTTGTATAATAATGAGAATTTATGTATACCGTTTCAAAGTAAAACTCATGAAATTCAAACATGGTATAATGGCCAAACCTATTGTAATTTGGCTCCACTGCCTATGGAAGGAAGAAATATAAGAATGAGGCACTTTTTTAGGCATACATATTCAAACCTGAGATCTCAACATTGGCACTAAGCAGTTACCTAACCTTGGATGGACATAAAAATTAAGTACATCCTCTTTGGCTGAGCTGAAAGTCCCTATGCACTTGCAGTTCTGCTGCCATGCTTGCTCAGAGCTACTGCATGCTACGAAGGAGCACGTGCCAGCCCCCACCTAGTCTTCAGGGAAATTACAAATTAGGAGGAATTAGGTGCCAGCGGCTGCCAGTGACCCCTGAGCAAGACATCTCACTGCAGAGCCATTCTGAGAGTGCCGTAATTTGCCCTCAGATCATCAGGTTGTTACCAAATACCAGTCACAGAGAGATTTGCTAGTTCCCATAATTCATACTACAACCTATACCGGTAGTTGGTATCAGTGAGTTACAGGATTTTCACAAGTTCTATTTCCAAGAAGCAGTTGCAGGAAGAGTCAGTGGCCCTCATGGCCCCACAGCTGCCCTCCAGCCTCCTGCACAGCTTCTCCTTCCAAGCCCCACCGGTGCTGAACACCTTTCTGCACAGGTACGGTTAAGCAGGTAGCAAAAGCTGCCATCCAGCTCAGCCCAGCCTATAGCTATAGAGGGCTTCATTTTCTCAGAGTACAGGAGAACAACCTTTATTCTGGTTTATTCTACACCAAACAACACCTTGAGCTTGCTCTCCCGACAAGGATATCACACAGTATCCTTGGGACCCACCGTTGTCCTACCCCAGGCCAAACTTTTAGCCCATCCCAAAATCCTCCACACTGCTCTTATGATCTAGTCTGAAGTCCCGATACATTATGGCTGGTCAAATACTTTTAAAGACGTGAACTGAGTCTCAGAGGTGCTCACAAGTGACTGAAGAAGGCGTCACATAACTTTTCATCTTAAAATATACTAAAGCTTCTACCAGACAATTTTAGCTTTATTAGTTGGTATCCATCATCACTTCAGCTTGGCTAAAAATATGGTATTTTGCTGAGATGACAAGCAAAAAAAATATGTCTCGTTTCCTACGAAAGGAGTTGCTTCCATTTCTTCTCGAAAAAGAGGATATGAAAATGCATCCCCTACTTCATGACAGCAAACCCGAATACCTGAAACCAAAAATTATGCCATATTTTTCTGATTACCAAAAATCCCTGCCTGCTCCATCCAGGATTACTCTGACAACTTGCATAGTGCTAGAGGACAGAAATCTGCCGCATTAGAATACATGATAAAATAATGAGGGATATATAAAAATAATTCTAAAGACAATATCATGCCACCTGGCCTGGAAAGGACAGTTGGAAATAAAGGGAGAGAAGGTTCCCTGTTGCTTAATTTAGGTCTAATGTGCTGTAAAAGCCACAGGGTTCCAATAAAGCAGATTTTAAAACTCCTTAAACAGGCCTGTATTTGAATGAACTACCACAGTCAAACAATTTACGTCTAAGTGCACATTCTAGGAAGGCTTTTTAATTTAGAAGGAGAAACAATAAGCTTTTTCGTTAACAGTGGGGTCAAGAGAGTCTCTGTGTCCAGAAGTGAAACAGGCAGTTTCATTGGAAATAAATTTTGGAAAGGGATTGCAGAATGGGCTTCATGTTTATGTGGTATTCTGGATCTAAATATGTATTTGTACAAAGAGATGATTGGGAAATAATTGGAAAAGGACTTTACTCTATCCCGTCTGTTCTTCCTTCCGGAATTAGTGGAAAAATCTTAAAAATCTTAAGAAAGGTTTGGTAGAAGGGCTCTAAAGACTGAAACTGGTACCGTTTAAACAGGCACTTGTTTAAACTAGAAAGCCTATGGCAGACTAAAAAACTAAATACAGCTGAATATATTTACGGGTTGAAATAACACATCCCAAGAGTTCAATGTCTTTCTTGGTGTTTAGCCACAATTAGAATATTGCAAATAGTTGATTGCTTTTCTTTCTGGGTCACCTGTTCTAGGGAAAAAAAAAAAATTCACAAATCAGAGTACTATGTTAAAGGCAACAATAAAACAAATATACAGTAATTTTTGAAGTGTTTGTTGCTTTCAACAAGGAAAATCCTATTGCTGTTGGAACATGCTGGAGATGTTACTCAATAGATATAGGTTATATAAACAACTTGATTATATTTGCACTGTGCAACTGAAAAAAGTTCCAATCAGAAATAATACTTAAAAAATACACAGACACAACTGATAATTCGCCCATTAACAGGAAAAATACGTAGAAAAATTTGTATAACAAGAAGGAATTGGTTTAGATGAGTTTACTAGATGTTCTTATTAGCTACTATTCTACGTTAGAAAATTATATCCACAGTTTTTTTATATATATAAAAAACACAATCAAAAACCAATAGCCGGCTTAACTCATTGTGCTGGGCATCTTTCTCATACCCTGAATCCTTCCAGAGTGCTGCAAAAGGAGTTTAGGCCCCTAACACAGATTTCTGGGCTCCAGTATGAAAGAAAGGTATGTAAATGCTAGGCACACATGTCCCTTAAAAAGCCCTTAATAAGTTCACCTTGTCATTACACAAATGTACTGTTAGAAGGGCATCGAGACATGATTACGCATTCATGATTACATTTCTGAAAATGGGCATTTATGAGAATGACCATCCAAAAAAAAAATTTGGTGATTCCTCCACATCAATTTAAAAACCTTGCAGTGTTGATGCAACATGGGTATGTGGACTTCCTAGCAGCTCTAATTCGTATCTTTTTCAACTCCCCTACAATTCTCTCAGTTGTTACTAGCACTCAGTTACCCTACATAAAAGATAGCTTACAGAACTAGGCACACCACAAAGAAAAAAAGTAGTCACACAGGCACTGAATTCAGTGGTATCACGTATCTTCCTCAAAAATAAAAGATAACATAAATTACTGGGGCTTAATATTCACACAAAACCCCACAACCTTCCTGAATTTAAAAATTACAAACTAACAGAGTTGATGCTTTCTAGGCTATTACTCATTTCAATATTGAAAATACAGATATGAATAAGTATTAAATTGTCTAATCTCCTAAATAATACTTCATCATTAAATAGTACAGCATGGAATAAATAATTCATTGTTATTAAGAATGATCTTTTTGTAAAGCATAGTAAACTGTCATTGTAGAAATGTATCTCAGAACAAGAATGGAAATATTGAGGAACAATCTTTACCAAACACTGACAGTGGGGATAATATGCTTGCTTATCTATTCTCACATTTGCTATATCCTCTAGCGAATATAAAAAGCACTCAACAGAGTATTGTGACTTACTCCTAATAGTATCAGTGGATGAAAGACTTTAGGCTGACTAAAGACTTTAAAATCTCTGCTGCATTGCAACAAACAGACATCTTCAGCAAGTTAATGTCCTTGACATACTTCTTAGAAGTTATCTAAAATTTCCTATTAGAGGGCAACACCTGAGTACCCAAAAGAGAAAAACGGAAACTACTCCAGAACTATCTTAACATGAAAGATAAGTAGCAGGTAAAAAATCCTCTGTCATTTCCCGCTGTCAAAAAATTAATATAAAAAATCTGAGTAGAAAAACAAAGCAGAACATTGAGCTACAGATATTCACAGAAACAGCATGTCCCATTTTAGATACTTGTCATACTGGTAGAAAGGGAGAATGAATTACCATGGGATTAGACTACAATAATTCATCTAATTGAATATTTAAAACTAATTAATTTATAAAAGTTAAATGCTAGCCTTTTTACATAAATAAATAATTCTGAAAGTTTCATAGAACTGTCAAATTAACTACTTTTTCTTTTCTTGAACTACATTGTCTTGAACTAAAAAATTCCAGTTGTTATGTAATTAGAGCCTTATGTAAAAAAGAAATCTCTTTTTTTTAACATATGCATATGTGTATTTTAAAATATATCTAGCATTTGCTTACATATTCTACAGTTCTAAAATTAGACTGGGTCAAAACAGTTAAGCACTTTCTGTTCATTCTCTAAATCTCCACAAAAATATGATGGCAGTTTAGCGCTCAGTTAATCCGCAGGCTGGACTACAAGGACAGATGCTCCCAGACGTTAAACAGTTTAACATTTCATCTCTCTCTAGAGAAACTATGTAGCTTGAAAAAGTTCACTTATCTTCAGAATGAACATTTCCACCTTGTTTTCCTTTCCCCCCCCTCTAAAACTATATTCATTCAAGGCAGGCTGAATAACCCCACCAGGAGATCAATAACCAGACCATGAACATTACCATCATCTGCACCACAAGGGCAGCAGGGAACACACTCTGGAGTGGGGTTCTTCATGAACCAATTTCAGCTTCTGATTAAACTGAGGATATAAATCAACAAAAATATATACACCAATTGTTAAACCAACTTTGGCTATAGGCTTTTGGTAACAAACATAAATTAAAGTGGGACTAGGGAGACCTTACTTAATTTTCTCTTTTTCCTTCTCACTACTTCTTTTTGGTTCACAAGTTATATTCATTTTATACATCTTCATGCCAACCCTCATTAGTAAGTCAATACTATTTACAGTATTATTATACTCTGCTACTTATATTCCCTCACTCTTGTTGTATGACTAACGTATTCAATGCATACACAAGCATTTGTACACTGTATCTGTCTCAGTCAATTTGTCACTTTAAAGGAGTTCGCACCTGCTTAGCTGAATTCATATTTGAGAAATATTTCACTCGATAACAGAGCAAAATAATAAAATCTGTATTCCTAGAACTCATTTCAGATTTTTTATGCTGTGCCATAAACCCAGTGGATGCAGCCTCTGGGGATCCCAGCCAAGAAGGCAAATTTTCTGACACAGAATTTGCTCACAGAACAGGTCATCTCCCTCACGGCCACTAATTTTGGGAATGTTGCTTGATAATCGAGGTATCTCTATTCCCCATCCACTACCAGAATGTAGAAAAACAGATTAGAGCATTCTCCAAACCACTTTCATTTACACCTGAGGCTGTACTATGTGAAGCAATGACTCTAGGGCTACAGAAATACAAGCAAGGCTTAACACTGCCTTTACTTTCTTCAGCAGTAGGTGATGAGGACCTAGGGTCTCTGATCCATCTCATTTCTCACTCTATTACATCATTCCCACAGTAGAGGTACACTGCATTTACACCAGCTTACATGAAATCAGAATGCTGATCAGAATGCATCTTTTATGAAGGCAATGCCAGCTATGTCAAGAAAATTACTCCAGTTATCATTTTGACAAAGTCCTGGTCGACGTTGGCATCTGTGTTAAAGTTTGGAAAATTTGTCTCAAAGCAAGTCTCCTCCCTCAGTATTTCTACATAATGCTCCACATCCTTCATCATATCCTTTTCACAGATGCCTGTAACCTTATCCTGAAAGCAAGGAATTATTTTTCTCTAATGGGTCTCTCTCGAAACACTACCAGGTTTGCACTCATGAAAATTTAAAACACCACACAATTTTTTTCAGCTGAGGAAAGATGATACTACTACTGAACTTTTCATTAGTATTCTTGGTAGGGAGTAAATATGTCAAACAATGACCTACATTTGGCACCTACATTGGCAGCCCTGTACATAGTGTTTGGGCCATAAGCAATATTAATATCCCACATAGGACAAAGGTCAATAGCCATGTGATGGCCTGATAACTGCAGTCTTAAAATATGTCACTTTATTTTGCCTTGCTGTTGACTACATATATATGAAGCAAAAACAGTTCAAAACCCAGATGTTTTACAAAATTACATTATTTTCATGGTTATTTTAAAGAAGTTTACAATGTTATGAAATATATACTGTCACAAAAGCAGCTCAAGAATGGAAAAATAAACAAAAATAATAAAAGAACTTTCCTATTTTAATTTTTTTATTTTGCACACTAATTTATACATCTGTTGCACAAGAAAGAAAAAACAAACCCACCTGAGTACACAAACAATTCACAGGAAATTTACATCCTACATGCTGATTATTGCTGGAGCCTCATTACAGGTAAGTAATTGTCCAATCTTTAAAAATAGCATCTGCTCAGCAATCTCATCGCTAAGGAAGCAATGACAATTCATGGATGTCCCAAGAGAAAATTAGAGTATACCTGCTGTCACTAAAAGTAGCGATCAATAA